TGTCTCATCTTATTTTATCCCACCCAATTTCAATCCATCCAACCCAATCCATCAATACATTTGTTTCTGCGCCTGCGGCGGGCCTATCCAATACATTTCATAATTACATGTCGATAATGAAATCGACAGTGAGATTCACCGATAGGTCGGTCGACGGATAGGTAGATAGTGGGATCTCATCGTCATCGCGATCATAATTGTGGTGGAGGGAGACTCTAATATATATATATATATATGTATATGTATCCATAAAGAGAGGACGAGAGAGAGAGAGAGAGAGACACAGAGACAGAGAGAGAGACACAGAGAAAGAGAGAGATGAGATCAAGGTGACAGGCTGGAGGTCAGTCAAGGGCGGCATTTGATCTCAACCCCCAGATAGATCCCTGTGGTCGGGGATTTTCAAAAATGGAGGGGGTTAAGGGGGGGTACTTTACCATCGCCCATTAGCGGTTACAGATCTGCCCCTGGCCTCCAACCAGCGCCCCCCCATGCCGGACCATTGCGGGAACGAGCCCCATGCGGTCCACGAGAGCACCAGCTGGCAAGTTCGTGAGGACCCTCGCAAAGCCTGTCGCTGGGAGGAGGTGGTGGGTCGCAAAGTTGGTTTCAAGGAACGAGCGAGGGAAGGAAGCGGAAGAAACCAGGGAATATGAGACAATTTGGGATGAGCAGGAGGGGAAGGAGAAGCAGGCGGAGAAGCAGGATGAGGGACGCCAAGGATGATAAGGGGGTGGGAGGAAGAGGAGGGAAAAAGGCGGAGAAACTGGCGGCAAGAAGGAGGAAGGAATGGTGACACCTGTCATGATGATGCTGAGAATCATCTGCGTCCCGCGGAAGCGACAACAACAAAACTGCAACGACCGTGCCACGTGCAAGGGCGAGCCAGAACACAGCGCGGCGCTCGGCCCCGTCGCCCGGGGCGAGGAAGGACTGCGGGGGGGAGTAGCAAAGGGCGGGAAGAGGACCAGCGCACGGCTTCGGATCGGGTTCGACTTCGGCTTGCGACTCGAGAGCTGGGTGTCAACCACAAGAAGGCTGCTCGCAGCCACGAGACGGGCCCTTCCCAAGACTGCCCCGCTCGCTCTCAAGACCTTCCCCCCTCGCAAAACTGAAAAGCCAGAGGGGCTTCACATTGTGCGAATACGCCGCCTGTGGAACGCCGTCATGCTCAGTCTTCCTGATATGCTTGCGGATGGTGGATAGCACGAGCAGGAAAAGTATGCACGAAAAACATGTGCCTGGCGAAGGACCCAACCACATGCAGTTGTGAATGCCGTCGTTGTTCGCATTCGGTGGATCTCCTTATGGTGCCACGAAGCTCTGTATTGGGTGGGGGAGACGCATGATGGTTGTGTCACTGGGACCTTCTGTGGAGCTCTCTCTCTCTCTCTCTCTATATATATGGTGCTACGAAGAGCTGCACTGGGTGGGGGAGACGCATGCGAACTGCGCCATTGGGACCTTCGGTGGAACTCCCTTTGGAGCCACGAAGCACAGTACTGGGTGTGCGAGACGCAAGCAGGCTGCGCCACTGGGACCGAACTGCGCCACTGGGACCTTCGGTGGGTAACCTTATGGGGTTACGAAACGCTGCGCTGGGTGGGGGGCACGCCGAAACGCTGTACTGGGCGGGGTAGACGCATGCGAACCCTCCGACGTGGGCCTTCGGTGGAGCTCTCGATGGAACCACGAAGGGCTGTACTGGGCGGGGGAAACGCATGAGGTCTGCGCCACTGGGGCCTTCGGTGGAGCTCTCTATGGGGCCACGATGCGGTGCACTGAGTGGGGGAGACGCATGTCACCCTGTCACAGGGGCATTCGGTGGAGCTCCTTCTGGGGCCACGACGCGCTGTTCAGGGCAAAGGAGACGCATGCAAACCCTGCCACCGGGGCCTTCGGTAGAGGTCCCTATGGGGCCACGAAGCGATGCACTGGGTGGGGGGGGACGCATGTAAACCCTGCACTGGGGCCTTCGGTGGAGCTCCCTGTGTGGCCACGAAGCGCTGTACTGGGCAGGGGAGACGCATGCGGACTGCGCCACAGGGGCCTTCGGTGGGGCTCTCCATGTTGAGACCACAAAGAGCTAGCTATACTGGGAGGGGGGGGCGCATGTAAACCCTGCACTGGGGCCTTCGGTGGAGCTCTCTATGGGGCCACGATGCGGTGCACTGGGTGGGGGAAACGCAAGCGAACCCTGCCACTGGGACCTTCGGTGGCGCTCTCTACGGGGCCGCAAAGCGCTGTACTGCGTGGGGGGACGCATGTAAACCCTGCCTCTGGAACCTTCGGTGGAGGTCCCTCTGGGGCCACGAAGCGCTGTACTGGGCGGGGGAGACGAATGCGGACCCTGCCATTGAGGTCTTCGGTGGGGCTCTCTATGGGGCCACGAAGCGCTGTACTGAGCGGGGGAGACGCATGTGAACCCTGCCACTGGGGCCTTCGGTGGGGCTCTCTATGGGGCCACGAAGCGCTGTATTGGATGGGGGAGACGCATGTCAAACCTGCCACTGCTGCACTCTGTGCAGCTCCCTGTGGGGCCACGAAGAGCTGTACTGGGCGGGGGGGGACGGATGCGAACCCTGCCACTGAGGTCTTCGGTGTAGGTCCTGGGGCCACGAAGCGCTGAACTAGGTGGGGGAGACGCATGTAAACCCCGCCACTGGGGCCGCCGGTGGATCTCCATCTGTGGCCACGAACCGTGTGAGGCATGTGCCATTGTGGTGGCGATGGCGACGACGAGGGCGAGGCAAGGAGGGGAGGAGTGAGGAGAAGGGGGTAGCGGGAAGGAAGGAACGCGGGACGCTGTTCTTCAAAACGAAATCCCAACAACAGGTCGGTTGGGAATGAGAGGGACTACGCATGCCAACAAAGCCCACAGCACGGTCCTGGCGGAGGGGCGCAGAAGCGGGCAAAGCGAAGCAGGAAGGCATGACGCGCATTGACCACACATCTCTGGCAGTCAGGCCCCGCCGCCGCATCGCAGTGAACTGCAGTCATCGGCCTGACCTAAGGAACGATACATTCGGAACGAAGTCCTTGTTTTCCTCTAGGGAATAATGAATAACGCGTAAGGGGCGATAAATAACGCATGCGAACCTAAGGAACGACCGAGCCCCTTTTGAAAAGCAAGTGTTCCCTGTTCAAGCCGCTCACTGTATTCAGACCACCAGGGCTTGCACCCCCAAAACCCCATGGCGAGCGTACGACCGAGGTGTACGTCAGGTTCGTGTCGTGCCGACTTCGGCGTTGGTTTCTGACACCGCGGGGATCGTTTACCCTTGAACGATCGGCCGTTTCCGAAAAGTCCAAATCTTTCCACATCGAACGATTCTGGGTCGCCAACGGCGTTCAACGTTGAACGCCGCTGGCGGGGTCGCCGAAAATCAACACGACACGAACCTACCGTACACACACAACGCCTTTCGTTGATCGGCATGTCCCAAAAAAGGGGACGACTGGCTATGATCCCTGGCCAACCAAATTGTACCATGAAACCTTCAAATGGTACCGGAGAAAAACCCGATCATGATCTTTTTAGGGCTATGGGGCTATGGGGCTATAGGGCTATAAGGCTCTGGGGCTATAGGGCTATAGGGCTGTAAGGCAATAAAGCTAGGGTTATAGGGCTATGGGGCTGTAGGGCTATGGGGCTATGCGGCCATAAGGCTATAAAGCCATAGGGCTACCGGGTACCTGGGTACCCGGGCGTGCCGCCGAAAACGGCGCCCCACCTCACCTAACCATATGAATCCGCTAGGACCCCTACGGAGGCAAGCTCCGATTGGGGAATATGCTCCTAAAGGCTACTGAGGCCTCGCTATGCGCCGTCAAATGGCCTCCTCCCCATGTGACGGACCATCGATTTCGCCTGCCCATTTTTTGACGCCTGAGCAGTGCTCAAAGAAATGCATGCCTAGTCCAACCTCACTGGGGGGCTCCTGTTCCAATCAGTTAAAATCGATGAAAAAGCGTATCCAGCATCCAGCACGGAAACTACGACGAAAACTGCAACCGCGAAACCGAGAAGAGGCAGCAAAGGAAGATCAGGGCTGCTCCTCTGATTCGCGCAACCCCATCCCGAGGTGCTCACGCACGTCTTGGTCGTTGCATGCGCCGATGGCCCATACACGTGGGCAAGGTCGAAGGCAGCTCTGGCACCTGCGAGAACCTACGGCTCCCGCGAGTGCCAGGAGCACGTGAGATCGGTGTGGGCTGCCCACGTCGCCCTATGCAGACTCGGTAGGCGCGCGC